GAGAATTCAACTCTAACTGGATCAATGTTTTTTTGGGGTAATTACAAATGTCACTTTTTGTGTACACATTTGCAAGAATGTGACTTAGGATATCCATTTGCAAAAATGCCACTATTTATAGATTTATAAAACCTATATCTTAAAATTCTAAACCCTAAAAAATATTTTGACCCCTAAAACCCCTTAAACCCTCATAACTAAACTCTAATAGAACATAATTAACTCAAACATAAATGATATAAAAAAAAAAATTTTGAAAAAGTGACATTTTTGTAAAGATTTCAAAAGTGTAACATTTTTGTAAAGTGATACTTGAAAAATGACATTTTTTGAAATTTCTCATGTTTTTTCTCATCACTTTGATAATTCTGTACATGTTAAAGGTAAAAACATTTCTAAGTAAAATGCCATCATAATTAACCATATGGTTTGATTCATCAACCCAAGAAAAGTTTAATTTATGACCAAAATATATATTACGAATACTATGACCAACATATCTTTATTTTCTAACCAAAAGTTCCAAGAGTTCAATAGTGTCAAACTTTTGTGACCATTATTACACCAATTGACATTGTTTTTATAGAACTTTTTGGAAAATATTAATAAACATATAAATCCAAAAGTGTTCACGAATATATGTGCATGTGAAACAGTGTTAACCTTCAGTGGTTCATTAAAAACTGTTAAATGAAAATACTTGATATTTTTTTATATATATCTTTCTTTCTTTTCTAATAGCAAGAAGTAAAAATAGACAAAACTTGATCTATGATTCCCTGCTACTTGAAAAACATAACATCAAGCTTTTCCTATTTTCTATACATGATTTGCATTTTCGTAAATTTAGTTATACCTTGTAACTGTTTAATTATATCGACCAGAATGTTACTAGCTAATTCCATATATCATTATACTCCTATCTATGGTTGCTTCTAATTAACTGTATTGCATGCAGTCTATTGAACCACTAACATCATTTTTATCGTGCCGTGAAGAATTTTAATCACTTATCAAAACCAGAAACAAGAAACTATATATATTATAGGAGATTGACAAAAAAGAAAATTATTTGTGGTAATTTTAGACCATTATTGAGCTTTAAGTCAATAGAAACCACAACGAGTCAAAGAGTGACCTTTATGAACTTGTGGTATGTGTTTCAACTTTCAAGTTATCGTAGCTTTTGTTTTTATTTAAGTCGTGGCCCCCAACCAATCCCCCATATGTTGTGAACTTGTGATTGAGGCTGACGTGCACCATTTGCATTGTTTCAACAACAATGTTTTGAAAACCGGACCGGGTTCGACCGCGAACCGACTGACTATTTGGGTTGGGTTGATCCGGATTTGAG